TGCCCCTTCCGAGTCCCTGACCATCTAGCCAAACTGTTAGCAGCTATGATCGGTGTAGACCTGTAACTCCGACCTATCCTTCCCGGCAAAATCAAACAAAGAGGGGCTGTTGGAATTCCTGGCCCAGCGGGTGCACTTCCCCTCACCCCTGTCCTCAGCAGGGTTGGAGCTCCGGGCCTTCCACCTTCGGGTGATGCCCCTACATGGCTCAGAACCACGGGAAAGCCAGGCCCAGGCTTTTCCTTCCTCGATCACCAGGTCATAGGGAAGATCCCATGAAGCCAGAGGCGACACAAGAGGGGGTGGTCACAACAGGCTTTCCAGCCACTTCTTCACGTGACCTACTTGTGCCCTCAGAACCTGCTCTGAGCCCTTATTGTAAGCACCCCTTCTCTGATGGTGGAATACAAATGTGCATGCCCAGCTTCATGGCATAAAAGCATGTAAGCCCAGCTGCATGGTCTGGTCTGGTCTCCTTGGTGGGTCAGATGACACCCATTCCTGATGGACAGTTCAGGTCTCATGGTAGCTTGGTGGCCCGTGGTCACACGTTCAGTCTCCACTGAGGCCCAGAAGCAAAAGCCAGGATCTGTTTCTCCAAAGGAGAGTTATATCCTCAGAGGATGTTGGGGCTTTGCTCCAATCCTAAGGGCGCTGGGCTGTCATCTACCTACAGGAGCTGCTGATGGCTCCAAAGAGCGTCCTCACCTGCCACAGACCCCTCAGGCTCCCTGGATCTGCCAGTTATACGTATAAGGCCCTTGGGGTACCTCGGCCGGTACAGCAGCCTGGATCTGCTGCGGAGGCGTCTCTCGCTCTGAGCTGCACTCAACACAGACAGCTTTCCGGGTCATTCGATTAACGGATCTCATGTCTGCGCAGCCTCCAGAGCCCGAAGAGGCCCACGGGGCATCACGCGTCCTCTTAAGCAGTAGGAAGGGCCGGATGTGGATCTCGACACGCCCCAGACACGCCCCAGACCACAGGACCCGTCGAGTGTCACCAAGGTAGCAGGCGCCCAGTTCTGTGGGATTGGTTTCCCATCTCCGCCGTGGCCTGTGGTGACACGGTGTCTGAATGATCGCCACTTCCTGCTCACCGGGCCCAACCAGCACGATGTCCTCAAGGCAATGGACCAGCATGATGTCCTGTGGACGGGAAAGCTGGTCGAGAACACCAGAGCTCACACGGTTGACCAGACATAAGACAACTGGGAAGAGAAACCTCCCCACCCGCCCAGGGCTCAGGAGACGCTGCCCAGGGCGGACACGTCTGGGCGGCGGGGACAATGTCAGAATCAGGGTGAAGGGCAGAGAGGAAGCCAGAGACTGAATTCAGGGTCTCCCCCCGGCCCTGAGCCCCACCTTAGGTGGGTGACCCAGCCGGCAGAGCCCCACACGAAGGGCTGCGGTGTGGTGATGCGCTCACTGGCGGCCCAGGCGCTCCTCCCTGGCTGGGCGGGGCCGTGTCACCGCCCCCGTGAGGCCTGCAGGGTCTCCTCTGATGGAAGAGAAGGGGGGACCTGTCCCTGGCCTCCCTCTGGGAGACTGTTAGGAAGCAGGGTGGAGGCTGCCACCTCCTAGCCCAGGGGAAGTAGCCTCGCTGTAGGAGGGACCCGCCTCAGCGCCAACACCCCCTCCCGGATCCCCAGAGGTCACTGCCCAGGTAAACTGAGGTGGCCGGCAGAGAGCAGGCTGGAGCAAGGGAGCAAGTGAAGAGTGAATGAAGGGTGGATGGGGGAAGGAGCAGGTGGGCAGGACATCAGGGGGCAGGTGGGCAGGTGAGCAGGGGGACAGGTGGGCAGGAGAGCAGGGGGCAGGTGGGTAGGTGGGCAGGTGAGCAGGGGGACAAGTGGGCAGGTGGTAGGTCGGCAGGGGGGCAAGTGAGCAGGGGGACGTGTGGGTAGGTGAGCAGGTGGTAGGTGGGCAGGTGGGCAGGGGGCCAGGTGACATCACTAAGTGAACATCTTGGAGACAAGCAGTTAATGGAGTGGAGCTCGGGCCAGCATGGGGCCAAGAGTTGACGACCCAGTGAGTGGACGGGCAGAGGCGACACCATACTGCCTGCGCCCCTCTGTGCCGTGACACTGGGGTGGCAGCCAAAGCCATGTTTTTAAATAAAACTCATCTGAGAACAGTTTGGGATTTACAGAAGAGAGCTGCAAAGATAGTACAGCGAGTTCGCCTATACTACCCCACCCGCAGCGTCCCCTAATACCAACGTCTGACATGAGTGTGGGACATTTGTCACAATGATTCAATTCATATGGATCCATTATTATTGACTGAAGCTCATACTTTATTCAGGTTTCTTTAGTCTGTACCTGCTTCACTTTTTCTCTTCTGGGAGCCCATCCAGGATCACACACACATCTGGCCATCACATCTCCTTCGGCTCCTCTGGGCTGTGGCAGTTTTGATGACCTTGACAGTGGGAAGGAGGACTCCTGGGTGTGTAGCAGGACGGCCCTCTGTTGGGGTTTGTCTGGTGTTCGTGTCATGATTGGACTGGGGCTGTGGGTTTGGGCAGCAAGACCACAGGGGTGAAGGGCCCACTTGTCCCATCCCATCAGGGCACATGCCCTCAACACGGCTTACCTCTGCGATGCTGTCTGCGCTCACCTGGCTGAGGTGTGCTTGTCAGAACCGGAAGGGGGACCAGGAGGAGGCTGCTACGTGCAGCCACACCTGACGGCTAGGAGTGGGGATCCCATCCCTGGTGGCGGAGGATCCACACACATTATTTGGAATTCTTCTGCACGGACGATTTCTCTTCTGCCCCAGTGGTTTATTCAATCTTTTATTTGGACCAGCATGGATTCATGGATGTTTGCTTAATATCGTGGGTTGTCATCCAATACGTTATTTATTCTGTTGCTCAAACCATCCCAGCTTTGGCCACTGGGAGCTCTGTCAGTTGGTTTCCCTGACAAAACAGTTTTCTATTGACCAAGTAATTATTAAATGAGGGCGGAGAAGAGGGAGAAAAAGGAGGTCACTGGCCAGCAACGAACACGACACAAACACACGTGGGTGCACACAAATGCACAGGCACACACGTGCACACACGTCTTCCGTGGACACAGAGAAAGGAGGCAGCCTAGGCAGCTCACAGCGGGGCCTGGCCCTCAGCACAGGGTCCGTGCGGGGTGGGGGTCTGTCCCCTGGCCCAGCTCCTCCGGACGGAAGCTGCTGCTCCAGGCCCCCTTTGGACAGCTCTGCCCTCACGAGGGGGTGGCCACCCCAGGTGCCAGAGGGGATGGGCGAGTGGCTGAGGGTCAGGCAGCCGGGCAGGGCCAGCGGCTTCCCCTCCAGAGGCCACTTCCTCTCGCAGACAGGCTGTCGAAGTGGGAAGGTGAGGTTCAGCCACGGAAAGGGGTTCCCTGGGGCAAGTGTGGATGGTGCCCGACATAGGCCAGGCTCCCTGCCAAGCCAGTGGGCATGGGGCAAGGGGGCCACGGTCGGGGGCCGTGGTCAGAAGCCTGGTCTTTAGGGGGTCTGACCCGGGTTCAGTCCCCACCAGGCCAGTCATCAAGGAAGCCTCATTTCCTGCCCACAGAGGGGTCTGGTGCCGCTTTGGGAAAACACAGTGAGGTCATCTGTGCCAGCTGCCTGGCGCAGGGTACGTGCTCCACAGGGCTAGGTCAAGAAGCCAGGCCCGGCCCTGCTCCAAAAGATTTGCCCCAAAGTCAGAGAAAGATAATGCCAGAAGTGAGGCAGGCACGGTGACCTGTGGCTCATCTCTGCTGGAGGGAGGGTCCAGGTGGCCAGCTCCCCAGCCCACGGCCCTGCTGCCCCGGATCCCAGACTTTCACTCTCGCTGCGCCCCCTTAGGCCACACCTGGGCTCCACCGGAGCGACCCACATGTGGTGACATCGGGGACCCCTCCTGTCCCTGCAGACCCAGGGCAGGGATTCCTGGGGGCCAGGGGGGCACACGGGGGGCACTGGGATAGATAAGGGGTCCTGGCTGGCCCCTGCTCTGGGCAAGGAGGTGGCGGAGCTGACAGCCAGCCCAGAGCCCCATTCTGCTGGTTTCTAGAAGGCCAACCATCACCACACCCACGGCTATCTGGGGCACTCATCCTCCCCAGCTGAGGTCCCCCAGGGTCCAGAGGACCCACATTACGAGACACTGAATGGGGGCCACTCCAGCATGAGAGGTGAGCCGTGCACAGGTGGCCAGCCCTGGAGGACCACAGCAGGGGCCCTAGTGGTTCCAGCTGGCCCAGGCGGGACCCAGCGAGCGCCTTCACCACGTGTCCCCTCCGGGCCCACACTGGGCCCAGCAGCCCAGTTAGCACAGCCCCACGTTCATTTGGGTTTGCAGCCGTGCCCCATCCCCGGGTTCACGTGGTTTAGTTTGATTACAGATTCGGGTTTTGACAAAGCCTCAGTGTGGGTACCGGTGAGGGCCCAGCACCCCCCAACCCCCCTCGCCCTCCAGATGGCTCGGCCCTAAATTACTCATTTGTGCCGCTGAGGCATCAAAAATCAAGTTGCTTTTTCAAAACTTTTGATGTCACAGAACATTTCAAAAGATGTTTCGTAAGACAATGCTTCAATAAGGACGTCCGGATCAGACCTTCTCTCCCCAAGTCCTCCAAGGACGATGGCCCCAGGCAGGACTTAACGGGAGGTCCAGCCTCTGCTCGCATACTCCAGAGACAGGAAGCTCTGTCACCCCCACGCATGTGCCCTCTCCCACTTGCCCACCTCCACCCAGGGTCCTCTGCAGCCACGCCAGGAGCACCTTTGGGAGAGGTCTCGTTTATCTGCAAGCATCCTGGGGTCTTGGGCCAGGGGCGGGGGCAGCAGGGGGGCAGAAGCTGGCCTCGCCACCCCTCGCCTTCCTGCCTGCCCTTCTTCTGGGGTCCCCGGAGGCTCAGTTCCTGGTGTGCTGGCAAACAGACAGACAGGCGACCAACGTAACCCAGCTCCTGGGCGGGCAGCTGTGGTCTGAGGCCCCCGCCCAGTTGGAAACCACAGTGGGAGGGGAGGGGAAGGAAGAGAAGGGAAGGGGAGAGCAGAGGAGAGGAGGGGAGAGCAGAGGAGACCTCCATGGGGCCTTGGAGTCGAGTCAGGGTGGCCAAATGCCAGATGCTTGTCACCAGCCTCTTTGTCTTGGTAACAGGCAGGCTGGGCAGGGGCAGGAGGCGGCGGGGGGGCGGGGGGGGGTTGCTGAGCCGTGTTCCCAGACCTCTGGAACTGCGGTCCCCGCCCCGACCACACCAGCCCTGCCGCCCCGGTGGACATGCACCTGGGGCTCTGGTGGCGGACTCCTGGCAGCAGAAGGATGCCCCGTGAGCAGTGCCTGTCCTACTGCCGGGCGTCATGGGCCCTAGAGAAGGCCTGAGGGCCTTGGTGGGCTGGTGAAACGGGCTCGGAGGGGCTTTCTCTGGGGGAGCGGGGCGGGGGCTGGCCTCCCGCTCTGGAAGGTGCTCTCGTGGCGGGGGGAGAGAGGCGGGCTGAGAAGGGCTGGGTGGGTCCGTTCCCTGCTCCACAAATGGAATGATGCAAGGTTCCAGGCCCTTGGAGAAGATGGACAGCGGGTGTGCGTGTTGCAGGGGAGGGGGATGTAAGTGTGAGTGTGCGTGCTGGGGTGTCTTGTGTGAGTGTGTCTGTGTGTGCGGGGGGGTGTCTGTGTTGGGGGGTGTCTGGGGCAAAGGTCTCCCTGAGACCACCCCCAGAAACACCCAGAGGCCCCGCAGCCGATCCTGTCTCCTGTGAGACCCGGAAGCTGGAGGGAGGCTGGCAGGGGGACGGGTCAGTGCCCAGCCCTGCCCCACACACTGGGTCTACCCCACCCCCAGCTACTGGGCCTCGCTGTGGCCACCGCGGCAGTGCTCACCTACTTCGGGCCTCACTTTGCTGTCATCGGCCACGCATCCTCACAGAGGACCCGCTATGAAGCTTTGCACCTCTGGGGTAAGTGAGGCTCTGGGCAGGGCAGCCACTATTGGGGAGGGGGCTTCAGGAGCAAAGGTGGCTGGGGAGGAGCCCCAGGCTGGCGTGAGTTCTCCCGAGTGAAGCCGGGCTGGGGCAGGCAGTGGGGTCAGAGGAAGAAAGGGCCACCTGGAAGTCCCAGCTCCATTGGGCAGAGCCTGGGGTCTGCGCAGGTCTCCCGCTCGGGACCCCGGGGACAGCGTGGGCGTGTCGGGTGGTATCTGGACCCTGTCCTCTGTGTCCAGGAAGGGGTGCTCACCCGTGATGAGGCCTTGAGCATCAGAGATGGCATCCTGTCCCTCCTACCCTGCCCCCGGGGGGCTTGGCCTCCGGAGAGAGCACACTGGAGGCCAAGGAGGGCGGCTGTGGGGGAAGCCGAGGCTCAGGGGGTTGGGGCTGGTGGTCCCCACCCCAGGTCTCCTGGTGGCCGCAGGCCTCATGTTTTTACCCTGAGCCCTGAACCCCAGACTCCCTAGAGCAGGAAGCCTGGGGCCGGGCCTGAACTGATAAGATTACAGCCACCTGTCAGTAGGGCCTGGGGGCAGGGATGTGGGCTCTAAGATAGCCCCGGGAATGGGGGGACAGGGGGGACAGGAAGCTAGGAGGGAGGGCGGGGCCGGCATGGAGGCGGATGGGTGGTGGGAGGTACACCCCTGCCTGACGAGACAAGGCCCATTCAGAGCTCCCCAAAGTTCAGCACCCCAAGTTGACTCTCAGGTTGGATTTCAGACCTTGGCTCTGTGCACATGGGACCCCTGCCCTGGGCACACTGACATCTCTCCACTCTCAGCCTTCTCCACAGGAATCACCCTGGCCGCGCTCCTGACCCTGGGGGCTGTGCTGAGTGCTGCAGCCACTGTGAGAGAGGCCGGGGGCCTCATGGCTGGGGTGAGTTCTCTGTGTCCCCAGCTCCCCAAGACGGGATCTGGCAGGGCTGTGAGCCCACGGAGCCTGCCTCTCCCCTGTGTCCCGACAGAAACTGAGGCTCCAGGGATGTGGGCCAGCCAGGACCCCTCCACCCGGGACCACCAAGCCCCCTCCACCCGGGACCACCAGGGCCCCTCCACCCGGGACAGCCAGGGCCCCTCCACCCGGGACAGTCAGGGCCCCTCCACCCGGGACAGCCAGGGCCCCTCCACCCGGGACAGCCAGAACCCCCTCCACCAGGTGCCTATCTCACACCCATCATCCATGGGGGCCTTGAAAGGCAGAGCTGACCCTCCCAGGCCTGGGCACTGTTTCAAAGGCCCAGGGAGGGCCTGGTTCTGTGACACTGGAGTCGCTGCATACGTGGTTTGGGTGAATTCCATCCCCTTACCAGGAGGCCAGGCCCAGTCGATCACCTGTAGGCCGGGACTGGGCAGTGGCCCCGAGGCAGCCTGCAGTCGGGCTCCTCCTGAGCGGCACACCCTCCCCTGCAGCCACCAGCGGTGGGGTCTCCCCACCCCTCGAGGTCCCACAAGCCTCTGACCTCGCCCCACAGCAGTGGCCCTGTGTTGCCCCCATACCTGTTCCTCCACGTGGCCCTATCTTGGTCCCCACCGGCCTGTCCTGTTGCTCCACCTGCCAGCCCCGTCTCCCCAGGGACCACGGGCCTGCCCGCTCTGGGCTCAAGCCCCTCCTCTCACCTGAACTGGGGCCTCAGCTCCTGGCTGGTGCCCTGTGCTGTCACCTGATGCACACCACCCCCCAGAGTCTTCTCGGGCTCCCCGAGGCGCGTGAGACCAAGTCCAGCCTCCCTGTGCCTCCACGGGTCCCTAAGGCCTCCCGCTTTCCTGCCCCCGGCCCTCTGCTCCGGCAAACCCACCCCTCCCCTGGGAGTGGTTTGTGGGGCTGACAACCGCTGCGAGCTCAGGCCGGGGCTATGTTTCCCAGGGTGGCCTCTGAGGCCGGCAACCCTGGGCTCCCTGAGGGCAGCCCTCTGGGTCCCCAGGGCTGGCGGGGCTCTCGGCCCAGCCTGTGTCAGCAAATGTTGGTTGAATGACTCCTGGGTTGTAAACATCTCCAAGGGCAGGGACAGAGTCACCTCCTGGAGCCGGGCCCCGGCCCTGGGTGTGCTTGGGGAGCAGAGGGTCATCCGGCAGCTCGAGCCCTAACCAGGACCCCGCAGGAGCGTGGGCAGGGCAGTGCTGCGCGGGCGCACTAAGACCCGGGCCTGTGCAGTCTGGCTGGGGTATGGGGGGAGGGAAGGAGGCCCCAGTGGCAGCTGACCAGGCAGGTGCACTGTCCTCCCAAAGGGGAGCCCTGAGGCGTGGGGCTTGCCAGAGGGCCTCAGGGCTGGAGGTCAAGGCTGCTGGCGGGGCCAGACCCAGGGGTCCTGGCGAGGGCGGCCCGGAGAGGCCAGCGCCGAGTCTGCAGCGTCGGCCACCAGGGGGCGCCATGGTGCTGGGCTCAGAGCCGAGGCGGGAAGATGCCGAAGGCTCCTGTTCCCAAGGTTCCTGGCTCAAGGGCTCTCGGCCCAGCCGGTCACCAGGGCCTTCCCCAGCTCCCGACCGCCCCAGCTCCGCACCCTGATCTGGGGACAGGGGCCAGGGAGCACCAGGGTCTCTGTTCCGCGTCCCTTCCCGTTACTTGGGTCGGGCCCCACGGCCGCCCGCCTGCTGCACCCCAACCTCCCGCCCTGGGCCCCCAGCCTGGATGGCAAGCCCAGCACGGCCCCGCGGGGTCTGGGAGGCCTCACTCCCCTACTGCCCGGCTGAGCCACGGCCGTGCGTGTGCATCTCAGTGTCTGGCGCGTCTGGCGTGCGTGAGCCCGCGTGGAGGGCCAGGGGGCGGAGATCTTTCCCACCCGCCGCTCCCCCGCCGCTTCCTGCCCCCCCCAGCCCCCTCCCGCACCAGCGTCACACACAGGAAATGAGAGGCTCGCAGGCTCGGAGCAGGGCTGGCAGCAGCGCCGAGGCAGCCATTTTGATCTATGTATGTGGTTTTGTTTAGAATAGGGAGAAAGGAACCGGTGGGGATTGGGCCCGGCCGCACCAGCGCCTCAGCCCCGCAGAGGGCCTGGGGGGCCCGGCGGGCCCATCGCCGCCCAGGACCCTCCATGCAGGCGGACTGGCGGCGGGAGGGAAGGGAGTGATGCTCGCTTTCCTGAGGAATGAGCCGGTTCCTGGAAAATGCTGGTCCCCTGAGCTGGCTCTGGGCCTCCAGCCTGCTAGGCAGTGCTGAGCAATGGCTTCCAGATGGGAAAGGCGGCCCTCGGCCAGCCCGGGGGGGGGGGGGGGGGGGGGAGGATGGAGAGGGGGGAGGAGGCAGCATCTCCGGGCTGTCCTGAGACTGAGGCCTTGCTGACCCCTGGGCAGGCAGGAGGGAACATGGGGTGAAGGCCAGTGGACCGCCCGCCCCTGAGAAGAGCCGGAGGTCCCTGTGCACTGAGTCTGGGCGCTGGCGGGGTGGCCCTCTCTTAAATGGAGCCTGGTGGGCCCCCACCCCCACCCCCACCCCTGTGTGGACTGTTTCTTCAACCCCGTCCAGCCCGGGCAGCGTATGTGTCCATCTGCATCTGGGGTGTCCCTCCATTCCATTCCAGGTGCCACCCTGAGTGCGGCCCCTAGGTTGGGAGAGCCTGGCCGCAGCATGCCCCCGGCCACGGACAGCCCGGGGTGACTGAGGTGGGGCAGTGACACCAGGCCTCCGGACCCCCGGGCCGTGTGGTCAGCAGGCAAATTGACTGTCCAAGGCTCCAGAAGGAGCCTCAGCCCGAGACCCGAATCACAGGGTCACCAGCACAAAGTGACAAGGCAGACTATGGGTGGGGGGATGTCCCCGAGGCAGCACGTGGGCCAGGGTTCCTAGTCTGGGATGACCCTCTGAAACGACCCACAAAAGAGCTTTGGGGGCATATGTGCATTTTGCGGGGAGGGGCCGTAAAGTTCATCAGCTTCAGAACCCCCCTGAGAGACGTGCCACCAAAGCCCTGGGGCCCAGGGGTTGGCAGGAGGTGGGGACGGGGGCGGCTGGGCCACGGGGACAGAGCAGGGTGGGAAGAAGGGGGTGGGGCTTCTCCTCGGGAGTCACCTCGTCTCAGGGTGTCCTCCTGGCCACGCTCTCGCCGAACGCCCCCGGGAGGCATGTTTCAGAGAACAAAAGCAAAGCAGCGGCCCCTCCTCCAAAGGCCCTCCCTGTTCAGGGGGGCCGGCAGCCCCTGAGCCACCCCTCCTGCCCAGGCTTAAAAGGGGTTCGTTTCTTCTCCGGGATCCGAATCTCAGGCTCGGGAAGGCCCTGCCTGGCCCTTCCGGGGTCAGTGCCCTTCCCGGCAGCAGCCGCAGAGGGCAGGGGTCTCCCTCATCCCAGGTACTGCCTGCCTGCGTCCCTGGGGCAGGGGCTGTGGCACTGCCATCAAGGTCCCTCACGGGAGCTAAAACCAGCAATAGGGGGTCTCCCGAGAAGGGCCAAAAGAAGGGATGGAGACCAGTGTGCCCACCGCCCAAGGCCTCCCGCTTGGGCAGTGGGGAGCCGCCAGGCCGCCACCACGGCGCCCGGACTCACGGCCCCTCCTCCTCCCCAGGCCTTCCTGTGCTTCGCCCTGGCGTTCTGCGTCCTGGTGCAGGTGGCCTTCTGGAGATGCCACAACCCCACGCAGGTGAGCGCCCCGGCCCGCCCCCATCCCACCGGCGAGGGTCCCTCAGGGATGAGAAAGTCGGTTCCGTGCTCCCTCTCACCTGCCAGTCACCACTGTGGGGACATTCTCTGCCTGGGGGTGAGGTGGGGACGCAGAGACCAGAGGGCCGGTCCTCTCCTGGGCTGGGGACAGCGGATCCCCAGAGAAGGAGGGGAAGCAGGTACAGGCCTCGGACACCCCTTTCTCACTAAGGCCCCCCTGGGCCCAGAAGATGGGACCTGGGGGGTTGGAGGGAGGCCCCCCAGCTGGCCTAAGGGATTGATTAGTGGGGGTCGGTTCCAGAAAATGCACTGGGGGCTGCTCTCCTGACGGGGATCGGGCCAGGCAGGGGGAGGCCTTGTCCGGGCGTGGGCGCTACAGGACAGTGGAGGGGACGGCCAGGCCTCCTCCACAGGACGACAGCGGCCCTGCAGTCCAGGACTCGAGCTGCCTGGAGGTGGGACCGTTCACGTGACCCTACTCCTTCCATTTTCACTGTGGGCTTTTCCCAGGGACGTGCATGTCGGTGGTGACCGTGGTAATGGTGGGTGTGGGTCCCCATAGCAGGGGGCTCCTTTGTTTCTTCCTTCCTTCATCCGTTCATCCGTCCCTCTGTCCTCTGGGTGCCGCTGGTTCAGCGGGGCTCCAGGGCGGCTCAGGGCTGGGAGGCAGGGATGCCCCAGCTCTGGGGTAACACGGTCACTCAGGGCCCCGGCCCCCAGAGAGCAGGGCTCGAAGACTGCAGGCCACGGGTCTAGGGTGGGCGCTGACCCCGGGGAGCAGGGCAGGACCACAGCTTGGGAGGGACTGCTCCCAAGGGACACAGGGGGCTGGGGCAGCCTGGCCCTGCAGAAATTCTGTCTGAACTCTGGGTCCTGAGACGGAGCTGAGAGCCTGCTTGGGAAATGGGGCTGGCCAAGTTCATGAGCAGAGCTGACCCCTCCCAGACCAGGGCTGGGGGTCAAGGCCAGACCCCCTCTGGCCGGGCAGAGGAAGTGGGTGCCCAAGAGGCTCAGGGAGAGGGGCAGCGACCCCAGACAGGCTCACATGTAGGGCCCGGGGACTAGTGGGGGCCAGGAGGGTCCACAGTTGGCTGAGGAGGGGACACCGGTGGCTCCAGTTGGCCAGTACCAGGCCAGGGCACAGAGCGAGGCCGGCCAACGCCACTGCCCTCCAGCACCCTGTGCCCACGGCCCCCCAACAGGATCAGACTTCTCTCCCCAGCTGAGCTGCGAGCCTGCAGGGCAGCCCCCGGGCGCCCTTCCCAAAGGGCCCTCTCCCCACCCCCACGCCCCGTCTGCTTCTCAGCGTCTGTCCCGGGCCTCAGGCCCCTGCTCCCCCCCGGCTGAGAGGTGCCGGAGAGCAGCGCCCCCCGTCCGCAGCAATGCACACAGCCCAGGCAGCAGAACTCGCCCCAGCCTTCACCTGTGAGAGCCCAGCCCCAGGCAAGACCCCGAGGCAGCCCCCGAAGGAGCTGCGGGGCCAGAGGGTAGGGCCACAGAGAGGGACGGGAGAGTCCAGCCCCACGGGCCCCATCCGGCTGGACTCTCTGAGACCCTGATCAATCCTTTCTCCTCTCACTGGGACTCAGTTTCCCCATGTACTCTGTAAGGACCAGGGAAACCAAAGCCAGTCTAGCTGGAGTATACCCGCTTTCTGGGCAAAACCCTGTTCCAGCAGGTGACCAGCAATGATTTTTTGCCTGTGTATCAGGAGTCCCAGCGGCCCCAACCCCCTTGTTGCCCAGGCCCCCCCAGATGTTCACGCAAGATGCAGAGAGCAGCCAGGTAGGAGGCCGAGCTCGTGCTGTGTGCTTTTAGGTGTGTGATTACCCACTCTGGTCTTACCTGCAGTAATGGGCCTAGTTTCTCCCCGCTGCCCTCTGCCTGCCCCAGTGCTCCTTGGAGTTGATGAGGCCGTCACCAGACCTTCCAGGGTGGGGGCCATCCCCTTGGTCAGCAGATGGAGGGACTCAGGCCCACGGGGGTGAGGGGGAGGGCAAGATCGCCCTGGCAGAGGCCGGGCAGGAGGGGTCCACCATCCAGGGCTCTTCGCCCTGACTCAATGCCTTTTTACCCTTCCCTGCCCAAGGGTCACCCCAAACTGTTCACCACCACCTGGGCATCATCTGGGGTCACCCAGATGGAATACCAGATGGAGAAAGGGCATTTCCTCTGGCTCTGGAGGGGTCGGAGCCTGGCAAGGCAGCCTCAGCTCTCGGTGACCAGGGAGTGCTGGGCCCGGCTGGTGTTTTGGCCTCACATTTCCCATCCACCGAGAAGCCTGGGCGAGGTCTGGGTCACCGTGTGGGTGGTCCCGGCCAAGACAGCTGCCAGGGTGCCCTGGGCCCCCGCTGCAGCTCTCCTGGGGAGCGGCTGCAGCCCATCCTTTCTGCCCTGACACTGTTTACAGCTCTGAGCCCAGGATTTGCACTTCTGCAGGGGAGGGGCCTTGCAGGGGCCACAGGCCATAGTCTGCCTGGGGTCCCCGCTCCGGGAAGGGGAGGGGGCAAAAGCGGATGTCTCCCAGCTGGCCTTTTCCATATCCCAGCCCCTGCCGCCATCCCCGACAGAAATCTTCCTGTCTGGTCCGCGCTCCAGCTGGCCTTCAGGGTCCAGCTCTCGGGGTCCTGCCTGACCCCAGTCGGAGCTGGGGCTTCCTCCGTGTCCGGGCCCACAGGAGGCCGGGGTGGGGCAGCTCTGGCTTCAAAGTCTGGGGTCAGCCTCTCACCCGGTGCCCTTGGGATCAGCTAGCCTTCCTGGGCCTCGGTTTCCTCATCTGTAAAAGGAGCAAGAGAACCCCGATGAGGGGGCTGCTGAGTGGTGGGAATGAACCAGTGGGACCCACCTGCACCCCCTGAGCCCAGGTCTGTCCTCCATCACTGGGGCCAGTGCAGAGCTGGGCACTGGCCAGGGCACGGGCCCCGAGCAGCAGGGGCAGGACAAGCCACCCATCCTGTGCCCCCCAACCCCGGGAACCTGGGCAGGTGCCTTGGCATCAGGGCCAACCTGGGCCAGACAGATCCCAGCCCTGCTCCTTCCTTCCATGAGATCCTCCTGGAGGCCCAGGGAGCAGAGAAGCACAAAGGGCCAAGCTGTTTGCTCCAAGGGATCTGTTCACCCCCATTTCTCCCCCTGCACCTCCCCTGAGTGACCCCCTAAGAAATCCTGAAACACGGGGTCAAGATGGGAAACCTGGGGACAAGGAGAGGACAGGGGCTGGCCATGACTCCTGGTGGCCCAGAAGCCAGGCCGCAGACCCTGGAGCGGGGGCACCTCCCTGCTTCCCCCGCCACTCACTCCCCCGCACCCTGGGGCGCTCACTCCCTCGGGGCCCTGGTAGGCGCCCTGAAGCTGGGAGGGCCGGCAATGCAGGGACTGGGTGGCCGTGCTATGAATACAGAGCACGAGGGCTATTAATTATATTCCTGCGGGAGCCTGAGAGCCACTCTGCCACAGCGCCCTGTCCCCAGACGGGCTGCGGGGCAATGAATTGCCTGGCTCCACTTAATAATTCATGCACGGATTAAGTACAGCACTGCCGGGAGCCCCAGAGAAAGGCTGTCTGTCCTCTAGCTCCCAGGTCTGGGCCCCTCCCCCATAGTCCAGCGGCCACCAGGACCAGACCTGGGGCACAAGGCCCTGGTCTGCAGACCACCTGCAGCTCCCACGGGCCACCCCCTCTGCAGCTATTCTCCCCCGCCTCCCCCCCACCCCCGCAGGTTTAGCAGACAATGGGGAGGCAGAGGTCAATGGCAGGGTGGGGAGCCAGGCTGGCAGGGACGCCCCAGGCACCTGGTTTGTATTCAGCGCTCCAGGCACTCCCGTCCTGAGGGTTGCCCCCTGGAGCCCTGGAAGATGGGGCTTAAAGATCGGGGCACCCTGGCAGGGAGCACCCAGGTATCAGGGCCCAAGGGCCTCCGAGACCTCCCAGCCCACCCCCAGTTTTCTCATGGAGAAACACAGCCCCTGAACCTGGTGATGGAGGAGCAGACGGTAGAGCACCACCCAGGCCCCCAGGCCTCGGGAGGGTCAGCCTGGCCCCCTGATGCCAGGCCCAGGGGTCTTGGGCAGGGGCGTGGCTTTGCCAGATCTGCTTCTGCATGGGAAGGAGAAACTCGCGCCCCACTTCTGGGGTCCTGGGGAGAGATGCGCAGCTCAACCACCAGCGGGTTTGTTCCTCCCGTTCATGTTTCAGTAACAACACCTCCAGAGGGGCCAGGGTCTCCCTGGGCCCTAGTGGGCCTTGGGGGTGGGGCTGAAACCCTGAGGGTGGGCTGAGCTGGCCTCCCTGCCCCGGCCTCCTGCACCACCGACCCGGAGCCAGCTCTGCTAGCCCCTCAGTCCTCACCAGGACCCCCTCCCACGAGGACGTAGTACAGCCTGGCAGATCTCCACCCCCATGTCACTCGAGGAAACGAAGGCCAAGAGAGGGCCCCCAGCCAGGTCTCCCGCAGTGGTGGCCGGTCTGGCGCCTGGCCCCCAGCCCAGGACACTGCCCACCTCCCACTGGGTGGGGAACAAAGCAGCTGGCTGACTCTGTGGGCAAGGTCTCAGCCGGGATGGTTAATGAGCCCTGGGAGCGATGTTCAGTGTGGAAATCGGTCTGGTTCCTACTGGACAGCCCTGGGCGAGAGCGCCCCCCTGCCCACCTGCTCCCAAGTCCTCCAGGCTGGGAGTGGGGAAGCCGCCCTTCCTTTCTGGAGGGTGGGGGTGAGTGGCCAGAGCAGGGCACCCCTGAGCGCCTGCCAGCCTGTCCCCGCTGTCAGCACAGCATGGGGATGGGAAGGGAAGGGAGGCAGGGCGCAGCGTCTCTGAGGTGGGAAAAGAGGCATCAGAGGGCAAGGGAGCTCAGAGGCCTTGCCCATGCCAGAGGCCAGCGAACCCAGTGCAGTCACAGAAGCCTTCCTGGAGGAGGCAAGATTCCAGTTAGTCTCTGATGAAATCACTTGGCAAGGGGAGGGCATTTCGGTCTGGGGGCAGCACGAGCAAAGGCACAGAAGGGGGCAGAGGCAATGAGGTCTGGGTGAGGTGTGAAGGCAGAGCCGGCCGGGCCCCTGTTGCTACCCTGCTTCTCCTTCGTCTGCCCCCAAGGGGCCTCGTCTGCCCCGGGTGCCCTTGGCCAGCTCTGGGTAGCTGCCTGGGCTTTTCAGAACCTACCGATGGTTCTGGGCAAAGACCTGGAGCATCCCTGGGGAGCTGAGCTCCTGGCACGAGGCCACTCCTGGCCGTCTCCCCCCAGGGCCCACCGGTGGCTTTCCCTCCCCACTGCCTGTTTCCAGATCAACAGAAGCAGGTGGACACTTCGGCCAGGGTCTCCTCCCGCTGTAAGACAAGAGCTGGGGGGTGGGTGGCCAAGCTCGGGCCTCTGGTTTATCCTGCAGGACCCCCCAGGGGCAAGAGTGGCATTAACGGCCATTCTTGGGGGGAGGTCCCCACAACTGAAGTATGGGGACCCCTGTGACCAGCCACCCAGGGGACCCAGTCTCCGCTTCCAGGGAGCTCTGCCCCGTGGAAGGAGAAGGAGGGGGCCAGCTGGACATCACTCAGCACCCGAGGGCCAGGCCCCGCCTTCGGGGGGCTCCATCGGGGGAGGGGCTTCACCGGCACAGGGGCCTTCCCGTGATGCTCTCGGGACAGGTGGAGGACGCCGTGTTGGACGCCTACGATCAGGTGTACGAGCAGGCGGTGAAGAGCTCGTCAGGAATCTGGCGGCAGGAGCTGGTGGCCATCCAGGACATGGTGAGTGTGGTGGGGGAGGCCCCCTCCCTGGGCAGCCCTGGACTGGTCAGCCTCCCCAGGTGGGCTGTGATCTAGAAAATGGGCAGAGGTAGGCCCCCAGAGCCAGCCGGCGGGGGGCCAGGTGCTGAGCAGAAGGTCCCAGGACACAAGTTATCAGTGCCCCTTGGGGGGAGGGGGAGGGGACAGAGAGGTCCTGTCCTCCGTCTGCCCTGGAAGGGCAGCTGCTTCCAGAATGTGCGGGGCCCAGAGCAGAGTGCAAGACCCCTTGTCCAAAGGTGATGAAGAATTTCAGGATGGTGACGGCACAGCATTCGGTGGGGCCCCAGTGACTGCTGGCCAGGCTGCCCGGAACCCGGCACCCCCTGCAGAGTCAGCAGCCTCGCCCTAAGCCCCGGTCCTGGCCTCTGGGGGGGAGGGGGGAGGTGCCCTTCGTGCCTCAGTTTCCCCATATGTCTGACAGGGATCCTGGGGTTCTCAGAGCGAACCGCCTCCCTCTTCTGTCCCTGCAGTTTCAGTGCTGTGGTAAGAGCCCCCCACTCGGCCTCCCGGAGGGCTCGCAGGCTGACCTGTGTCGGGGGCAGGAGGCCGCCAGACAGGTGAGGGGGAAGGGCCTGCAGAGACCCCGGGGGGCTCAGCCCCAGAGCAGGGCCACTCCCACGCCTTGACCCTGGGGGCTACCCTGGGCTGGGGGGACTTGACGGACGCGGGCCCGGGTCCTCTCCAGGCCCCAATCACTCCCTCACCCCTTCACACAGTTCCCAGCTTGGGGGCTCCCCACGGCCAGGCACAGTGTCAGGCACTGAGACCGCCCCCCATCGGAAGCCTCTAGGAGGGCGGGGGGCAGGTGTTCGAGGGCCCCTGAAGGCCAGAAGGGCGTTTGCCAGAGGATCAGCCTAGGCCAGAATGTGGCCACGAGGGCTTCAGTGACGAGAGACAGAGGCAGGGACATTATTCTTCAGGATGACGGCGGCCCCCCTCCCCCCACCCCACCTCCTCAGCTCCCCTCCCCCGCTGTCCGGGAAGCAAACACCCCTATCTCTGGCAAGAGGCTCCTGGCCACCCTCCAAGAAACGGACAGGAGGATGCAAATGGCTGGAGGCCCAGCCAGGGACGGAGCCAGCACAGCGCCCTGGGCTCTCGCGCTGGGAGGGGCGAGGGCAGAGGAGGGCCCTGCATGCAGGGAAGGGGGTTCGGGAGGCCTGTTCACGCCACCCAGGGAGAGGCCTCAGGTCCCCGTCTGCAAAGTGGGAGCAAAGTCTGGTTTCTTGTACCTTCTGGGGTGGTGGGGGCCACGGGGAGACTGTAAAGGCCTTGTGGGTGGGGACACCTGGGGGAGGGGGTGGGAGGGCAGGGACGTTGTCCTAGATGGTGGTCTGACCCCGGGGCTGCCTTCCAAGAGGAAGTGGGACCACGCTGGGGGACCAGACCCGATCAAGGGAATTCATGGACAGATGGACGGACAGTCAGACACCAAGCCGGCCTCCTTTCCCCCGGCATCCCAGCCTTGACAATCGAACCCTGCATGTCCCACAGCACATCCTTCCCCAGCGTGCCCCCAAATGCCAAGTCCTTCCCCAAAACCAAATGCCATCATCAGTGGTTCAGAGTTGAGACCGTCACCTCCCGTTTCCTTGGAGACAGAGAGCCTCTGCGGATGCCACGTCCTGGAAAGGCCGTGGAAGTTCAGGATGGAGCCAGGACAGCCTGGGGACACCCATGCCCCAACCTGTTAGCCTGTGTCCTCTCCTCACCCAGGCTCTCTGTCCCACCCTGGATGGGGTTTGGGGGGTCCCAACACAGGCAGCTCAGGGGACGCCCAGAGGATGGCACCCACTGGACCCCTGGGGCCCCCACAGTCCCCGCAGAGGTGGGCTCCACCCTGCTTGTTTTTGCCTGTTTTCAATGCCAGTCCCCAGAGCTCGGGGTGGTTTTCCCTGGGATGTGCCGCACCCCGGCTTTCCATCTCCCTAGCATTTGTCCTAGGTGGGCGCTGCAGCTCCATGCCTTGGTGGAGGCACCTTGCCCTGGGCTGGGAGGGGCGGTCAGGGGGCCCACGCGTGCTGCCCTCTGCGCAGGACTGCCTGCAGGGGATCAGGAACGTCCTGAGGATGCACAGGAACATCGCCTCCACCCTTATCAGCCTCGGCCTCGCCTCCATGGTACCCTCTCACCCCCACCCCCGCCCCTTCCCCACCTGCCTGTGCTCTCCCACCTCAGACGGAAGGGCAGGGCTGGGCAGCCGCAGGTCAGATCGCGGGTCTTGGGGACCAGCAAGGCTTGCCCTGAGCAGGGAGCCGGGAGGAGCAGGCCTGAGGGGTGACAGGGCCTCCCTGATTCCCTTCCCTAGACGGCTGGGAGCCCTGTACAGCCCAGTGACCTCCTCGGGGGGTGATGAGCCCCCTCCCCTGGAGCTGCTGGTGCAGGGGCCTCCACCTCCCCCAGGTGTACGTGATGCCGCTCAGTGCCTTCCTCTGGTTTGCCATCCGCTCGGGCAAATACACCCTGAGCCCACGGTAGGCCCGCCCGCCCCTCCCCACCTCCCCAAAGGGGTCCTACAGCCCTGCAGCTGGAGGCGGGCAGGCAGAGAGCATGCCCCCCCACCCCACTCCCAAGGTCTCTGCCTCTGCCCAGCGAGTGGGACCCCTGGACCACGGGCCAGGCCAATTCTCCAGAGGAGGTGCTTTGGGGGAGGCTGGGCCCACTGAGGGAGGGGCAGCACGCACTCCACCCTGCAGCCCCCATCCTGGCCGAGACCTGGCCTCACAGCTGCCAACTCCACCGACATCGGGAGACGGTGCTTCTGGGGCCCCCGGCCAGGACCTCCCATGAACAGGGAGCAGGGAGGACCCGGTCCCAGCAGCCGAGCAGCGCCCCACCGCCCCTCAGCGCTCATAGAGTCCCCGCCTGCCACCTCCTTCACTCCCTGACTCAGCCACTCTGCCCTGGCCACCTGGGTGCCCTCCCTGCCCAGGCATCCCGCCCGGCCCCTCTGCATCCTCCAACGGCCTCACGATCCCTCTGCCCCTCAGGGCCCGTGGCTGCCAGCCCCAGGAGCCCCACTTCTACAGACGCTGCCGGGAGGGGCCCGCCCCTCCTCACCTGTCTGAAGCAGGGGCCGTCGGGGTCCAAGCAGTCGCTCGGGTGACCCTCCGCTGCCCCAGGACACCCACCCGCCTACACACAGGAGCAACAGAGACGCTCCGGCCTTGGCCCGCACGCCATCCTTCCCAGGAGGGGATGAGCTGTTTTCCTCCACATGGTGGTGGGATGGGGAGGGAGGGGACCCCGCCAGACAAGCAGCCTCCATGTAAGCAGACGGGGGACCGGGCGCCATTTGCAGACTCTGGGAACAGGCTGGGAGGTGAGTGAGGGCAGGGGGCAGCTTGGCTGGGCTCTGCTTTGAGTCCCACAGGGTCAAACCCAGGGATGGGCTGGGATGGGCTGCCCCCGCAGGCTCTGGGGAGGACCCACTCCAGGCTGGGTCAGGCTGTTGCCAGATTTCGGTTCTGTGCGGCTGTGGGACTGACGTCCCTTCCTTGCCTGCTGTCTGCGGGGCCGCTGTGCTCCCCGAGACCCCTTCCCCTCCATCCTCAAGTCACCATGGCAGGTGGGTTCCTGCTCCTGCTGGGAATTCCTCTGACTCTCCCCAAGGCTGGAGGACAGTCCGCTTTCAAAGGCTCACGTGTGTAGATGAGGGCCACCCGGGTAAATTTCCTGCCGTACAGAGAAATCACATTTGTGGTGATACTGTGTTCACGGGTTCTGGGGAATGCATTTGAGATATCCCGCCTGCCACGGCCTCTCCCCTTGGCCATCCAACTACCCGGCTGGTGAGTTCTCGCTAACGAACTGTCCCTGACGATTTGCATCCGTGGCTCGAAACCAAAGTCCTGGGTGGGACGCCAGACTGACCCAGCCTAGGCCGAGGCCCCAGCGTAACTGATAAGAGAGAAGGGACTGTGCGGCCCTTTTAACTTCCATAGAGGGAGCTCAGCCCTGCCCGCCCCCCAAAACCAACAAAGTCGGGTGCCTCCCCAGTAAGAAGCAGCCCTCTGTGATGGGCAACCAGAAAGGGACAAAGTGACCAACGCCTGCTGCAGTCCAACCCTTGTGTTTCCAATCACACACACACACACACACTCTCTCTCTCTCTCTCTCTTCCCACACTTACGCCTCCAAAAACAAGATGGTGCTCAGCCAGGATAAAGCAAATAGCTCTCCTACAACTGAAGGCACACAGGCCTTGCCCCCAAGGAATGTGCCGGAAGTCCAACGGTTCTGCATTTGATAACCGTCCAGGGCATCCGGGGATGTGCGCACCTCTCCTGGTCCCATTCTTCTCATCAGGCAAAATAAACTTTAAAGAAGCACCAGCTGAATTCCTGTGTACAGCAGTGGTGGAAAGAAAAGGGGATGTAGTTAAGTTCTGTAGAAACGTACATGACACCGCAGGAGAAAGGGCTTTGCTAGAAGCTGTAGACGGTGCTCCTTTCTGCAGTGGCCACGAGGCTGTGACCGACCTTCGGGCTTCCCTGCTCCACCACCCTGTCCACGTCCTCTCACGGGTCCGAGCGCTTCTCCTGCTGGGTGAGCCCGCTCTTCATCAGGGACGGAGCTGGGAAGGAAGGTCTCCGTCCTGTGGTCACCTCTGCCACCGTCTCTCGTCACCCAGCCATCCCTGTGGCCCCTTCATGGCCTCTTAACCCAGTGACAGAGGAGCCCCAAGTGGGCCAGGTGGAACCCCCCACCCAGCTTCCAACTCAAGGACACTATTGTTTTGTTCAAAGCATTCCTTTGCTGGTTACTAAAATGGCCAAACCAGGAGAGCAGGGACCAACAGGGCCGAGAGGCAAACGTTTGTGAGTGGCTCAGTCGTTCTAATCACAGGAAGGGTGCCGCCCCCCACCCCTACCTCCCCCACACCGTGCATCCTGACTCAGGGGGAAAGGCGCTGCTGACTAGCGCGTCCTGCAGGACACAGCGTCAGTGTCCCCGCACTGTCCCCTGGCCGTGGTCCTAAATGATGCCCAAGACTAGGCCACCATCCCTCAGGGTCACCTCCTTTGAGGAGCAGGGTACGTGGTGGCCCTCGGGAAGCCCATGGGCACCTCCCATTACCTTGTTTCTTTGACTGTAAAGTCAGGTCCTTGGTCAGAAACAATGACACGTGAGGAACCGGGACAGCAAATAAGGCTTTAAGTAAGTAAATAAGGAAGGTGCCGGTACATGCAGGGGAGAAAAGCCAAATCCAGAACGAGGCCCAAGTCCAGTGGGAACAGTCGCTACCCTCCCCCACAAGGCAGGGGCCCATGATGTCTACGGTTGTGTCAACGTGACCGGCCCCGGGCGCCCGGGTGGGACATTACTTCTGGGGGAGCCTGGGGGGGTGCTGTTTCCAGGTGAGATCAGCATTGGATCGCGGACGCAGGAGAGCAGGTGGGAGGGCACCATCTGGTCCCCAAGGCCTGAACAGAAAACAAGGCAGGGGAGGGAGAACGTGCCCTTTTCTGGCCCCACCCCTTGAGCTGGGACAGCTCCTGTCACCTCCTCCTGCCCTTAGACTGGGGTTTACACCATCCGCTCCCCTGGCTTTCAGGCCTCCAGACTCAGACCGGACGACATCACCAAACTGGCCTTCCTGGGCCGCCAGTGTGCAGACGGCAGGTCATTCCCAGACCCCATGACCACGGGAGCCAATTCCAAATAATCATATCTTTTTATAGAGAGGTAGGTAGGTAAATAGATGGATGATAGGTGGATGGGTGGATGGATGGGTGGGTGGATGGATGGATGGATGGGTGGATGGAGGATGGATGGATGGATGGGTGGGTGGGTGGATGGATGGGTGGGTGGGTGGGTGGGTGGATGGATGGATGGATGGATGGGTGGATGATGGATGGATGGATGTAGAGACAGATATCCCACTCGTGCAGTTTCTCTGGAGCATCCTGACCAGTACAGGGTCCAAAGTCATTGAACCTGCTACAGGTGGCAGGCTGGTCTCCCGTGAAGATACTGCATTGCAGTGCAGAGTTGGACACTGCTGTAACAAACGGAGCATCCGGCTGTAGGGGTGTCCAGGTGAGGCTCGGCAGCTGGACCACGGGTGGCTCCCCCTCCTACCCTCTGTCTGCTTTTCACGAGGCCACCGGGCAGCATGGGGGTGGCTGGGGAAGAGGCTGCATGCCCTCCACGGGGCTCCAAGAACCTTACAACAGTCCAGACACCCAACCTCACTGGGCGATGCGGAGCTGCTGGGCCTGCTCAGCTACGTGACCCAGTGGACAGATGACACCCACTTCAGGATGCGCGGTTCGGGTCACCCTGCTGTCCCACGGACAGGGGTCAGCTTCTCCCCTGGCCCAGAGGAAAGCCAAATGCTGAGTCGCAGAGGGAGGCGAGGTCCTTGCAAAGAGTGTGGCTGCGTGTCCGTGTGGGAATGGCGCTGAGATTCCCCGTCTCAGCTTCCACAGCAGCCGCTGGGGCCATGGGGTCCCCGGGTCACAAGGACCAAGCTGTGTGGCCACCAGGGCACCTCCGCTGCTCTGCACCTCGCTCAAAGCCAGCAGCCCAACATGCCTCCTGGGTGCCGGTGAAAGCAAAGCCGATGCCCAAACGTGGCTTCCTCCACCTGTGCACAGGTGACCAAGGCTGCCGAGGGGACACGCTTGTGTCCACTGGACCCAGCGAGGACTTGTGTTTTCCCAGGGTTTACTCTCAGTCTGCCAGGTGCAGTTTTCACCGAAGTGACCAGACATTTCTCCAGATCTCATCAGCACAGGATCTCGGGGGTGGGGGGGACACATGGTCAAGGTCCCTGTGGATTCAGCTGTGGCTGAGACCCCGAGTGTCCGTGTGGTCCCGAGGCAAGACCGCAGTCCTGCCCTTCCAGGTGAAAGCAAACGGCCTCTGGTTTTCTACATCTCTGGACAAACCTAAAAATGCAAAAACAAAACCAGGGATTCACTGGCCGAGCAGCCACACGCCGGGGGGGCGGCCCCTTACATCGATTTGCACTGATTAAGAACACCTGAAGCTACGGCTGCGCTTATGTCACCACCTGATTTCAAGATCCCCACCCACCCCCGCCCCCGCCCCAATGGGGCACAGCTCACAATCAGAAGACTTGATCCAGGGTTCCGTCCAGAGGCGGGGGCGCCGAATCACTGTGCGTGCGCGGGCCCACCCTCAGGAACATCGCCCAGCGGTCCTCTGACTGCTCGCTCCGATTTCAGTGCTCGCAGAAGCGCACACGTGTTCTTGCCCACAGACTTTAAACTTCTGTCCTTCTAGCAGGTGTTAAGTGGTGTCACATTATGGCTCTAATCTCCTATTCCTGTTTCCTGTTTTCGTGATCATTGGCCATTTCTGTTTCGTGTTCTGCCAAATGCCTGTTCATGTCTTCTGCCCATTTTCTTAATTGGATCCTACGTCTCTTCCGACGCATGGGGAAGTTTTTACGTATCACTGGGTAGAAATCCTGTGTTATTTGTATGTATTGTAAATATTTGTGGCTTGACTTTCGCTTTCTTTATAGTGACTTCTGTGAACAAATGCTCTTTGTTTTTTACCTTTTAATGAAAGCTTTAGCACAGAAAAGAAGTAGAAAGAGTAATGCAGTGAACACACATATATCCACTGGGACAGCTCATTTTATGTGTCAACTCAGCAGGGCCTCGGTGTCCAGCTGTTTGGTCCAACCAACAGCTGGCTGTTGTCCTAAAGGTATTTTTAGATGAAATTAACATTTAAATCAGAAGACTTGGAGTAAAACAGGTCACCTGCCATCGAGTGGATGGGCCTCGCCCAATCCGTCAAAGGCCTTAAGAGCAAAGACTGAGGTTTCCCAGAAAAGAAGGATTTCAGCCTCAAGACGGCAACATACAGAGCCCGCCTGGGTTCCTGCCTGCCCACCTGCCCAGGGAGTTCAGATGTGCCCCTCTCCCAACTGCATGGACCAATTCCTTAGAATAAATATCTCATTTTCTCTCTCTTTCCCTCTGTCTGTCTGTCTCTCTCTGTCTCTCTCTTTATATATAGACATGCATACGTATACACACACATATATTTACTTTAAGATGTATGTATTGATATATGTAAGTTTCTAAAAGTCAATTCCATACATTATGACACTTCAACCAGAAATAAAATAGATAAGCAGTTCAGCATTCATCTCCAAAAATGGAAGACATCCCCAGCAGACCCGCAATCCCATTATCATGGAGCTAAGCTAACAATAATTCCGTAATAGCATTGAAAAACCGAATTCATATTCCATGTCCACCATGTCCCCCATTAGCTTTTATTGCTGGTTTGTTTACTCCAAGATTCCATCAAACCCCCTGCTTTGGGTATGTCTCCAGTCTTTTCTAATTTACAGCAGTTTCCTCCCACGCGCAGTATTTTCCCCCACGCCGCTAACTCATTTCAGGAGCCCAGCTCAGGTGCCCGAAGGTCCCAGGTTCTGGAGGTGCCATCCTCACGGTGCCATTTTACGTGTCCCTCCCTACCCTGTTTTTCCCGCAACTGGAGGTCAGCGCTAAAGGCTCGGTTGTATGGCAGCTGGACCACTTTGGCAGGATCCCTGCACAGGTGAGGCGTGGTGCTCCTTGCTGCCCATGCCCGGGGAGCATGGTGCCTGCTTGTCCCATGTTAGTGAGGCTAAGTTTGATCACTGGGGACACCAGATATTTCCACTGTAAAGTTGTAGCTCTGGACGCCCTGGTGATAACCAGGTCCCCAGCAAGCATCCTCCTCCTGGTTGTAGCATCTGTGGATCGTCCTTGTCTGAACCGGTTATTTCACCAGGTGCGGCAAGGTGGCAAGTTCCTGATTGTGGGAGTCGGCATTGAAATTAGCCCGAGACTCTGCGGTATCTGTCTAACCACTCAAATCTGCGACTGTTTGCAAAAGGAGCCATCTATCATAACACAGAGGAGTAGCTGTGGGTGTATTTCAGTAAAGCTTTATTTATATTTGACTTGCGGGTCCTAGTTTGCTGACCACTGGCTTACAGCACTGTTTTCAAATAAGATACAAATGTCAGAGTATAATGGATTTTTTTTGTTGTTGTTTTGTTTTTGCGGTACACGGGCCTCTCACTGCTGTGGCCTCTCCCATTGTGGAGCACAGGCTCTGGACATGCAGGCTCAGCGGCCGTGGCTCATGGGCCCAGCCACTCCACGGCATGTGGGACCTTCCCGGACCAGGGCACGAACCCGTGTCCCCTGCATCGGCAGGTGGACTCTCAACCACTGCGCCACCAGGGAAGCCCCAGAGTATAATGTTTTAGTGTAAAACTTCATTACTTACGACTGACCAGTAAAATTCAATAGTTAGAGCTTAAGATAAATTCATTCTCTCCTATTAAATAAGAGCTTGCATTTGACTTAATGAACATTTATTAAAGTTTAATTTTTTAACACACACACACACACACACACACACACACACACATTAGCCCCGGAGAGCCCTTCCTCCTGCTATAGTCATGCCCCCCTGTGCAACCCCCTTGTCTAGAGTGTGGGCTGATCTAGTGAGTGACTTGCTTCCAACACCTGAATGAGGTAAAAATGATGGGGTGTCTCCAGAGACCACACCAGCCTCTGTCCTCTTACCCTCTCTTGCTCGCTCTACGGGGAGCAGCAGCTGTATTGAGGACTGCCCTGTAAAGGAGGGCAGAGTCCAGCCAACAGCCAGCAAGGATGAATCCTGCCCACGCCCAGTAAGTGAGTTTGGACAGGGACACTGCCCAGTCGTGCCTTCCGATGAGGCTGTAGCCCAGCCACTGAGGGCCACCTCGTGAGGCACCATGCAGTGCATCCTGGGGCTTATCCTGTGAGAGACCCTGGGCCACAAGACTCAGCACCCACAGAAACTGAGATAATAAGTGTTTGTTATTTTATTTTATTATTATTATTTTGGCCATGTCACATGGCTCACGGGATCTTATTTCCCGAACCAAGGATTGAACCTGGGCCCTCAGCAGTGAAAGCGTGGAGTCGTAACCACTGGACCGCCACGGAATTCCCGTAAGTGTTTATTATTATTATTATTTTTTTTTTTTTTTTTGCGGTACGCGGGCCTCTCACTGTTGTGGCCTCTCCCGTCGCGGAGCACAGGCTCCGGACGCGCAGGCTCAGCGGCCATGGCCCACGGGCCCAGCCGCTCCGCGGCACGTGGGATCTTCCCGGACCGGGGCACGAACCCGCGTCCTCTGCATCGGCAGGCGGACTCTCAACCACTGCGCCACCAGGGAAGCCCAGTGTTTATTATTTTAAACTACTACATTTGGGGCTAACCGGCTCCTCAGCCATAGATAGCCAATGTGCTGATTTTGCCATTCCTTCTGTGTCCCTTGGAGGGCTCTTCTTTGGAAAGACACGCATTCCTTCATCAACTGAGACTTACTTGAGAACTTGGGAGATTCTTACTTTTATTTCTTCTTGAGTCAACTTGGCCCGTTCATAATTTTCTAATGTTTTTGTTTCATTGAAGTTTTCATATTTCACGGCACAACTTTTTTTGTGACACTCTATTTTGGAATAATTATACGTTTACAGGAAGTTGCAAAGAAGTGTGCAGGGAGCTCCCATGCACCCTTCACCCCTCCTCCAGGAAGCCTGATGGGAGAATCTGCTGTCTCATCTTTCCTGAATGGGTCTTACAGACACTTCTCAAAACATAAGTAACTAACAAAAGAATGAGGAAAGG